GAGATTCAGCAAGAGATCATCCTACGAGCCCTGGTGACATTCAACAAAATAGTTCGCATAGCAGACGTGCTGGACGCACGATGTGGACTTGCGCGAGCAGGTTTCCGGGAGGGAAATCGCTTTTGAGGCCAGCCCCAACACACATCAATGAACGGCGTGGACGTGTTTGCAGCCCGAGTATTTTCGGGAACCTGCTTCCACTTCAATCAGCCGGGTCACATGGTGAGGGACTGCCCGCAGATGAAGAAGAACTTAGCTAACGACAAGAAGCAGTCGGGAAATGGAGATCGTCAGTAGCAGAAGGGCCACCTACAGACTTGACTGCGTCACCCAATGGTCACCATCCCCTCCAGGTTACAGTGCCAATTTGGGCTATCGACCATTACTGGCTGAATAATGCGCGTAACATGCGGCAAAAATTTCAGTTTCACGACGAAGATGCTAGCGACAACTTTGGACGAGTGCGACATGCTGCTGGGATGCGATTGGCTGCGAGAAAACAACCCGAGCATTGACTGGCGGACGGGCGATTGTCGCATCAAATGGAGTGGCGAGTGGCGTCGACTACCCAAATGGAGCTTTCAAGATTCGACAACATCGACGGTTAGCGCAGTGACGATCAAGCGAGCCATGATTCGCGAGGCGCAAATGTATGCCGTTCGATGGATCGCCTCAACGGCTGTCGACACGCCAACCGACACCAACAAACTCTGCGCAGCTGTCCCGGATGACTTGGCAATGGTGATTCGGAAACACGCCGACATTTTTCCGGACGACCTACCGGCGGGTTTGCCACCTGAGCGAGACCACAAAATCGAGCTGGAGCCCGGCGCGCAGCCTACTGTTCGGACTCAATGGCGGTTGACTCAGCCCAAGTTGGATGAACTTCAACGCCAGCTAGACTACCTGCTCGAGAAAGGCTTTGTTTACCCCAACACTTCACCGTTTGCAGCTCCGATCCTGTTCACTCCGAAGAAAGATGGTGGTCTACAAATGTGTATTGACAACCATGCCTTGAACCGGATTGCCATCAAGTCTCGCTATACTATCCCGCGTGCCAACGAACTCATCGACCAACTTCGCGGAGTCAAAGTCTTCTCGAAAATCGACCTGCGCGGCGGTTACCACCAAATCCGCATGAACGAAGCTGACTGCTACAAGAGGGCGTTTCGATCCCGGTAGGGGAGTTACGAGTACACGGTTATGCCTTTTGGCTTAACAGCGCACCTTCGACGATCCAGGTAACCATGCACGAGGTTTTTTCGGCCACTGCTAGATAAATGCGACATCGTGTACCTCGACGACGTACTGATTTACAGCACTACCCGGGAGCAGCATTTGAAGGATTTGGAAGCAGTTTTCTCCCTCTTGCAGTAGCACCGACTCATCACCAAGGGCTCTAAAATACGAACTGGAGTTTTTGGGCCACGTAATTTCCATCGTTCGTGTTAATATCGACCCCAAAAAGATTGCGCCGATCCAAGACTCGAAGCCGCCGACTACTCTCCGCGAACTTCAGAGTTTTCTGGGGTTTGTGAATTATGTCCGTTCGAGCTCATCGCCAACGCTAGCGATCTTGCCGTTAGCGCAGTACAGTTACAAGACTTCGGCGAAGGCCTCCAACCCATCGCCTACGAGTCACGAAAGCTGAACCCGCCCGAGCGAAAGTATCCTGTCCATGACAAGGAGTTACTCGCCATCGTTCACGCTTTCAAAGTTTGGCACTGCTACCTGACGGGCGCTGACGTGACAGCCTGAACAGACCACAAGTCGCTACAGTTCACCCGCGCCCAACCGACACTGAATCCCCGACAGATTCGCTGGCTCGACTACCTCGAGTCCAACTGCCATTACAGAGTCAAGTACAAACGAGGGGTTAGCAACATCGCTGACGCACTAACCCGCCCCTCGGTCCACACCGCCGCCGTCCTAATCATCCAAGCTAATCCGCTGCTAACTGGCCTATTCACCCACGGATACAGTACTGACCCATTCTTCGCCACCAACAGTCATCCCCAACTGACGGACAAGAAAGGGGCCTATTATCTAAAATCCAGTAGCAATCGGATTTGGGTTCCTGCCTACCGTACCCTACGCGAATTATTGATCCAGGAGGCACCTGACTCGAATTTCTCGGGTCACTACGGCGTCGACAAAACCGCCAAATTACTGAGCCGTAATTACTGGCCCAATTTGCTGACAAACGTTCAGCTCTACGTCACCTCTTGCGCCACGTGTCAATGCATGAAGTCTTCTCGGCTTCAACCTGCTGGATTGCTGCAGCTACTCGAGCCACCCAGCCGACCCTGGCAACAAGTGACGATGGATTTCATTACTGGCCTGCCAGCTGGTCCAAACGGTAACGACGCGATTCTCCTCGTCGTTGACCGGTTGACCAAGATGGCCCACTTCGCCGCCTGCAAGTGTTCCTCACAAACACCGTGCGGCTACACAGCATCCCCTCGGCAATCATCAGCGATCGTGACACACGGTTCACATCCAACTTCTGGACAAAAACCTGGCAGCAGTACGGCACACGTCTACATCTGCCCATAGCGTACCACCCACAATCGGACGGTCAGACTGAGCGCACCAATCAGACGATGGAGCAGCTGATTCGCACGACGTGCACAGACCCGGTCCAATGGGAAGACGCCCTTCCCTTGGTCGAGTTTGCGTACAACAATGCCTTATCGGCCATGATTAATTAGTCCCCGTTCTTCCTTAATTATGTAATAGATCCGACAACCCCTCTATCGCCCCCGATAGAAAACCTAGCTCCAAGATCTCAGTAGTTCGTCAAAAACCTCTGACAGTCTTAGCAAAAAGCTACCGATGCCATTCTCAAAGCCAAACAGAGGGCTTAGCAGGAAGCTGACCGACGACGCCGATGTTCAAATTATTTAAGTTATATATAATTGATAGGCTTGGTAGTTGTTACTGAACCTTACTGTAGAGGGTACAATCCCCTCCTTGTACCCCTCGCTCTTCCTAATCGATCACCTTCTCTCTCGTCAATCTTCCCTAGCTAAACCTCAGCCGCCATTTCATGGCGGCCTTTTCCTTTCTTGCTAGTTCAGTTCACAACATGGTATCAGAGCAGGCCGCCCGTCCCGGGCCTGCTCATTACGCTTCCGCTGCATGCTTTCACCGTTCGCGTATGTGCCGCCATCGCGGCCCTTCAGTATCCTGCCGCCGTGGCGGCCACATGTTATCCTGCCGCCGTGGCGGCCTTCTCCTGTCGCACCATCGTGATGGTTTCTCGTCTTCGTGCCGCAGTGACGGCCGTTACGAGATGCCGCCGCGGGCTCATGGTGCAGCCGTCGCCCGTCCGCCTCGCCGCTGCGGCAATGACGACGCGCTGTGGCGGCTTCTAGGGCAGCCGACGGCATCGTCGGGCTGCAGCCGGCCGAGCGACGTCTGTGGCGCCGCCGGACCTGCCGCCCGCTCGTCAGCCATGGGCGTCACTCAGGACGCCGTCCTCACGCCAGTAAGCGCCGCGCCATTTATGGCGCGTCGCTGAAGACTCACCCCGCCCCCTGTTGGTGCAACCCTATGGCTTGCACTCGGCTTGTCGTCCTTGTTTGTGTGTGTGCATGCATGGCATGGAATGAATTCTGAGTCTATGTCATTGCTATCCAGTGCTTGTGTGTGTGTTTGAATGGTGTATCACAATGTGGTTTGTGTCGGTCAAGACATTAGCGAGTTTCTACAACTCGCATGTCAAGTCGTCGTTTGTGTGTCGAATGTGTTTTTTCTATTTTGTCGAGTGTGAAGTGTCCATCGTGTTGCAGGTGTGTGCAGCAAGCCCCCATCAACTCAAGAAGAATTTATCTTGCAGATCCAAGAACAAGAGCTCAAGATTTCAAGCCCAAGGGACGCGGATAAATATTAAATAGTGAAAATAGTAACGTTACTTCGTGTAGTGTTACATTTCACTTGGTGTAGCCCCTTGGAGGGTTGGTTTCGAGACTCTTCATGGTTGGGGACTCTGTGGTGGTGTACCACCAACCTGGACCTCGGCTCTTGGGGTATGTAGAGGCTGGGAACCATCTCCCTCTCGAACTCTTCTTGGTAAGTGTGTACTCCTAAGACTATAGTGGCTGCTTTACCTCCTGCCCGTCAAACCGCCATAGCGTCGTCAAATCTTCATGGGATTTCATGATTCAACTTGCTGCTGATAGACGACAGCAACGCGCTCTAGATCCAACTTATAGATCACCGTTTGATTCAGCGAGCAGATCGTAGTCGATATTTGAAGCCGTCTGATGGAAATCCGACTGTGCTCTCAATCTCTCATTATAGGCACATCTAAGCCTATTGTGATTATAACAAGTGGTATCAGAGCCCCTTGGAGCTGTCTCGACCATGCCTAGGCCTGAGGAAGGGGGTGGCAGAGGTGTTGGAGGCAGAGAAGACGCCCAAGCACAAGGTCAACACCAAGATCCACCCGTTGCTCCGGTGCAACCTAGCCTTGGACCCTCTAGGGATGAGCCTAGAGTGTTAGGCCTTGACAAGTTCAACGGTGACAACTTTGCTGAGTGGTCCTTCAAGATGGAGAACATCTTTGACCACTATGATCTGCTGGAGGTGATGGAAGGAACGGAGAAGCGCCCCGAGAACGACCCGGAGAAGAGCCCGTGGGTGCGGAAGAGCGCACAAGGCTACCTTCTACTTGGGCAAGCGTTGGGGAGCAGCCAAATCCGTCACATCAAGCCTTTTCAGCGTGAACCAGCAAAGGGACCAAAGGCATGGGCTGCCCTCAAGGGTGTACACGCTCCTGCAACAGCGGCGGTGGCTGTGGTTTTGGAGCGGCAAATGGCAGCACTTCGAATTGACGAAGGCGACCGGTGGAGGAAGGAGTGCAGAACTTCTTCGACTTATTGACACGGCTCGAAGGAGCTGACCTGAACTACAGTGACCTTCAAAAGAAGACCAAGCTGCTAGCCTTACTTCCGGACTCATGGTCCTCGCTCATCATCAACCTTAATCGAGATCTGCCCCGTCTCTCACTCGAAGATGTGAAGCGGGAAATCTTACAAGAAGATTTCCGCCGTCGCGAATTGGCGGGTACCGATGGTGCCGGAGTTGCAAGCATGGGCCGTGGGCACGGCCGTGGAAGGGGCAGAGGGCGAGGAGGAAGATTTGGCAGCAGTAACTTCAGTGGGGGCCGTGGTAATGGAGGATATGGCAGCAACAACAACAATGGCTACGGGCGTGGGCGCGGTCGATTTGATGGCGAATGCCACTTTTGTCACAAGACCGGCCACATGTGGAGAGATTGCTTCAAACTACCTGATGGCTGGACCCCTTCTCAAGGCCAAGAGGGAAGAGGAGCAAGGGGAGGAAGAGGCAGAGGTTGTGGAGGCCGTGGTGGCCGTGGAGGCGAAGCGGCAAGCATGAAAGGTGGAGACTACGACAAGGACTCGAGTGAAGATCGATACCCGGGCCAATTCTTCTTTGTCTCCACGCAAGCGGTAGCTGCAGCACGAGGTGTGGAAGGCTTTGAGGAGCCAGCTACTATGGGAAAGGTCACCCTTCACTCTCTGGACTTTTGGGTGATCGATAGCGGCGCCACCTACAGCATGACACCTCGTGCGGACTTGCTCACCGAACTCGAACCGTCGCCGGTCAAGCATGTTACATCGGCTTTGGGGCAGCGAGCAGAGGTGAAAGGCATGGGCAAGGCCATGTTCAAGGGTGCTGATGGGAAGATGGTGGGCCTCAAGAACGTGCTTTGGGTGCCCAACCTTGCAGCCAACCTGATCTCTGTTCGGCGTTTGCAAAAGGCCGGCATGGATACATCTTCCAAGGGCCCCAAAACTTATACCGCGAGGCTTGGTGAGCGGAAGCTTTGGGACCTTCATGAGGACAGGGACATCTACAATGAGATGTGGCAAATCCCAGTGGTCCCCATGCCTAAGGGGAGGCAAGTGGCAGCAAGCGTCAGCACCAAGAGTGAAGCGGTTGGTGGCGGTGATCACGGAAAACAAAGTGACACCAAGAGTGACTCGAAGGAGTGCAACCTTGGAGAGACCAGCAAGGCGTGTGAACCCAAGGAGAGTGGTGCAGCAGCCAAAGGTGGTGGAAATGAGGAGGAGAAGCCTAAGATCAGCAAAGCAGCAGCGGCGAAGGAGAAAGGAGAGAGCTTGTGGGGCACGATTGCGAGTGCCGCTTTCTCCAACCCGAATTCCGCTACGGGAGAGTGTGATTGGCTGACCTTGCATCCGCAAATGGGGCATGTGGCATTGCCCATTTTGCAGCAGATAGTTAAGCAAGAGATGGTCAGTGGGATACGTGTCAAGGGGGAGCCCAATGAGGTGCTTGGCTGTCCAACATGCATGCAAGCCAAGGTCACCCGCTACCCGTTCCATAGCTAGGAGACAACGGCAAAGGCACCACTTGATGAGGTGGTGATGGATGTGGTGGGCCCCTTGAAGCTTGGAGCTGCTGGAGCTGAGTACTTCCTCACCATTGTGGACGTCTACACTCGCATGACTTTGGTGTATGTGCTGCCCAAGAAGAGTGACGTAGGTGCAACGGTGAAGACCGATTGGTTGCCAATGGTGGAGCGGCAACAAGACCGACTTGTGAAGGCGATTCGCACTAACCGTGGGGGAGAGTTCCTGAGCAAGGATTTCTCAACTTGGCTGAAGAAGCAGGGCATAAGGCACTCTCTTACCATGCCCTACTCTCCTGCAATGAACGGCATTGCCGAGCGTGCGAATCGGACACTCACGGAGACGGCTCGGGGACTTCTCATTGAAGCCGGTCTTCCCAATTACTTTTGGCCGGATGCGGTGCGGCATGCTTGTGTGGCCAAGAACAGAGCCTTGACTCATGTGGGAGAAGACAAATGGGTGCCCTATGTGGAGTGGATTGGAAGGAAGCCGAAGGTGGATATGCTTCGGGTGTTCGGGTGCATGTGCATGGCACTTGTGCCTAAGAAACTTCGGCACAACAAGCTTGATGCCAAGGCAACATGGGCCGTGCACCTGGGCATGGCTCAAAACAGCAAGGGATGGCTTCTTTGGGACCCATTTACCAAGAAGTTCCTGGTGAGCAGAGATTGCAAGTTCATAAAGAACTTACCGTACAAGGAGTGGAAGGCGGAGAACCAAGCGAAGGTTGGTGTGCGGCTTGGAGAGGTGAAGAGTACCGGATTGGAGCATGTGGAGCTGCCCTTGTAGCTGAGTAGCAGCAGCACTATCACAAGGCAATCTCCTCAAATGAATGGGGGAGAAGAGGAGGAGGAGGTGCAGCAAGGTGATGAGCGTGCACCATCACTTCCGCCTCGTGCTACAAGTGCTCCCGGGAGCTGACCAGATTTGCAGCAACGCCATGAGAGCATCCAAGTCCCTGCAGCAGAGGAGGAAGGAAGGGGGAGAAGGAAGACTCAGCCCCCCAATAGTTTGAGGTATGAACGGCTTGGAGGACCAGCCAACTCAACCTTGACCGGTTTGGCTCTCATGCTAGGCGATGATGCGGAAGATGAAAGCGAGGAGTGCGCCTTTGCCTTCTTCTCTCCGGTGGAGATGCCGGGGGAGCCTACAAATCCCAAGGAGGCTTGGGAGGGCCCCAATGGGAAGGAGTGGAAGAAGGCCTCAGATGAAGAAATGGGGAGCATCATCGAGAACGGCACGTTTGACTTGGTGAACCTACCTCCGGGGCGTAAGGCGATCTCTTCCAAGTGGCTCTTCAAGCGCAAGACCGACGCCGACGGCAACATCGAGCGCTACAAGAGCAGACTTGTAGCCAAGGGGTATCAGCAGCAAGAGAAGAAGGACTACAATGAAGTGTATGCCCCTCTGGTGAAGGGTACAACCCTTCAAACCCTCTTCGCCGCGGCGGCCATCAAAGGATGGGTGGTGAAGCAAATGGATATAGTAACGGCCTTCCTCAACGGCGTTTTGGAGGAAGAGACCTACATGGAGCAGCCAGAGGGGTACAATGATGGGAGTGGCAGAGTGTGGAAGCTGAAGAAAGCACTCTATGGCCTCAAGCAAGCTCCTAGGCAATGGTACATCAAGCTGCGGGAAGTCTTGGAGGCGATCGGCTTCACTCCCTCAACGGCCGATCAATCGTTGCTCATGCTTGGCGAGGGGGAGCAGAGAAGCTTCATGGTGGTTTATGTGGATGATATCCTCATATTCTCACCCTCCTCTGACCTTGTGAAGGATGTGATGCTGAAGCTTCAAGACAAGTTCAAGTGCAAGACCCTTGGTGACGTCAACTACTACCTTGGGCTTCACATTGAGCGAGATGTAGAGAAGCGGTGGATGCGAGTGCATCAAAAGAAGTACCTGGAGGCCTTGGCTGCAAACTTTGGGAAGAGTGAAGGTCATGTGGCTACTCCTCTTCCCTCAGGGTTCAAGTGTGTGAAAGGACCAGCGGAGGAAAGTGTTGGTGAAGAGGAGAGGCGCCGTTTTCATTCCTTGGTGGGCAGCCTCATGTATGCGGCCGTTCACACAAGGCCGGATGCAGCCTTTGCTACCGGGCAGCTGGCTAGGGTTTTCCAATGCCCTAATGAAGAGCAGGTAGCAGCTGGAGAGAGAGTGGCCAAGTACCTTGGCCAAACAGCAACTGTTGGACTGCAATACTCCGCGGCGGCACAAAGGCGTCAAAAGGGTGCGGATGGAGTCGAACCCGGGAGGCTCTTTCTCACCGCTTTCTCTGATGCATCTTGGGCATCAGAACCAGAGGACATGACAAGTGTGGGAGGCTTCATCTGCTGTATTGGTGGAGGGCCAACAGCTTGGGAGAGCAAGAAGCAAGTGGACCAAGCATTGAGCTCGGTGGAGTCCGAGTACATGGCACTCTTCCATGCCATAAGGGAGGTTGTGTGGCAGCGGCGTTTGCTAGCTGAATTGGGGGAGGAGCAACAAGGACCTACCCCACTCTACTGTGATAGCCAGGGTGCTATTGCATTGGCAAAGAACCCCGTTCTTCATGGCCTTACCAAGCACATGAAGGTGAAGTGGCATTGGGTGAGGAGCATGGTAACCGCGGGTGAAGTGGAGTTGCACTACGTGAAGACGACGGCGCAGCCAGCTGATATGATGACCAAGAGGCTGGTTGAGCAACAGCATTGGAAGTGTTGCAAGCTTGCTGGGATGGCTCTGAACTAAGGGGAGCAGATTCTAAGGCCAACAATCCGAGGGGGAGTTTGTTGGTGCAACCCTATGGCTTGCACTCGGCTTGTCGTCCTTCTTTGTGTGTGTGCATGCATGGCATGGAATGAATTGTGAGCCTATGTCATTGCTATCCAGTGCTTGTGTGTGTGTTTGAATGGTGTATCACAATGTGGTTTGTGTCGGTCAAGACATTAGCGAGTTTCTACAACTCGCATGTCAAGTCGTCGTTTGTGTGTCGCATGTGTTTTTTCTATTTTGTCGAGTGTGAAGTGTCCATCGTGTCGCAGGTGTGTGCAGCAAGCCCCCATCAACTCAAGAAGAATTGATCTTGCAGATCCAAGAACAAGAGCTCAAGATTTCAAGCCCAAGGGACGCGGATAAATATTAATAGTGAAAATAGTAACGTTACTTCGTGTAGTGTTACATTTCACTTGGTGTAGCCCCTTGGAGGGTTGGTTTCGAGACTCTTCATGGTTGGGGACTCTGTGGTGGTGTACCACCAACCTGGACCTCGGCTCTTGGGGTATGTAGAGGCTGGGAACCATCTCCCTCTCGAACTCTTCTTGGTAAGTTTGTACTCCTAAGACTATAGTGGCTGCTTTACCTCCTGCCAGTCAAACCGCCATAGCGTCGTCAAATCTTCATGGGATTTCATGATTCAACTTGCTGCTGATAGACGACAGCAACGCGCTCTAGATCCAACTTATAGATCACCGTTTGATTCAGTGAGCAGATCGTTGTCGATATTTGAAGCCGTCTGACGGAAATCCGACTGTGCTCTCTATCTCTCATTATAGGCACATCTAAGCCTATTGTGATTATAACACCCCCCCCCATTCTCCCTTCCCCCTGCGTCTTCCCTTCCTCCCGTCGCAGCTGCTGTCTTCTGCCCGGACGTTGCCACACCGCCGAGAGCCCTCAGCCGCGGCAGTCGCCGCTTGTCGTCAGCGACACAGCCGCCTTGAGCAAGAGCTCCGCCGCTTCTTGTCGCTGAGCCGCCCAGACGCCGTAGGCTACCTCTCGCCCGGGGGTTTCAACGCTTAGCACGAGGGTCAGATACCCGGCTAAGCACGAGCTTGAGGGTGTGCGGGGTTAGGGGGTGTGTTGGGTGGGTGTGTGACTACCAAGTCTAGGGGGTGTGTTCAAATTATTTAAGTTATATATAATTGATAGGCTTGGTAGTTGTTACTGAACCTTACTGTAGAGGGTACAATCCCCTCCTTGTACCCCTCTTTCTTCCTTATCGATCACCTTCTCTCTCGTCAATCTTTCCTAGCTAAACCTCGGCCGCCATTTCATGGCGGCCTTCTCCTTTCTTGCTAGTTGAGTTCACAACAGCCGAGACTTAACGCTCGCCCCTGGGCAATTGGTACTGCTCGTCAACTTAAATTTGGGAATTCCCCTCTCAAATAAATGACGACCAAGATTTTGCGGCCCATTCCGCATTATCCGCATGGTGACACCAGTCACCGCCTAGCTTCAACTGCCGACCGACTTGCGAATCCATGATTCGTTCTACGTCAATCTCCTGCAACCGTTCGTCCCGAGAACGACTAATCTCGACCGTCAACACATTAATCCTATGGTCAACCGAGTACCCGAGCCAACGATCGAGCCTTCCAAGATTCTTGCTCATCGTGTACGAGGCCATCGAGATACAGCAGCTGTTGATTTTGTACGATTGGTCTATCGTACGACCGACGACGATCTTAGGGTCCCCGCAGCTATGCTCGACGGACACAATGTCATCCGGGACTATTTACATACACCGACGACGTGTCCCGGATGTGGGTGGTCTCATCTTGGAAGGGGGGGTGGTGTAAGGGCTCGACTACAGCGCGTACGCCCTCGACTCTCGGAAGTCCAGGCTCGGCCAACTTCTTCGGTCCCAAACCATTTTGCGAACCCAAACTTTGACGCGCGGCGCTTCCGTGGCTTTCGGCAACCGGACCGCCCCAACCTGTTCGTGAGGTTCTCGGCTAGCTCTGTTCGTGCCTATATATGCCTAGGCCCTCATTTGTATCAACACTCTTGAATCACGACTCCTTTATTACACTTCCTGTTATTACTCTGATTAATTCATACAAGGTGCAGCATCTTGAGACAAGAGGGCTTGCAATTTGCCGGTCGGGCTATAAGCTTTCTTACGTAGCGCCTATTACACTCTTCCCACACGTCAACATATGGCCACAGCAGGGTAACAGCCTTGACATCAGGACGAGACCTGTCCTCAGGGTAGTACCTTTTACGGTTTTCGAAACGATTCACAAATCGTACAACTTTCCAGTGCGGTGAAATTCCGCCTCTAGAAAACGATTGCCATGTACAGTGCCGCTCCCTCAGGCAACCAAACCCTCCCAATCCAACCCATCTGGAAGGCAAGGCCCAGCAGCCAGCTGTTTTTCAGTTCTAGTCTGACGAAGAAGGCGCCTCTCCCGCCGCAAATGGGATCACGAACTGCGCCGCATCGTGGGCGGCACCAGCTTGAAGTGGATACCTGAACCAGCAGAGCCAGATGTATTCAGGCAACATATAAACATGTCCTGTCAAATGCATACACCTTTATTCCAGTGAAATACTAACTCATTAGAAGCTATTGTTCATCTACAGACACGTCGACTCAAACACACGGGAAACGGCCCCGCCTATACAGGTCTACTGATCTTCAACAGTTACCACATCTGATACTGTGACCTCCAAACGTGCAGACAGGACGTTCCGAGGCCTCACCTTGTTGTCCAAGGAACGCAAAAGAAACAACAGTGGACACCCACTTAAGACTCGAAAATGCCAACTAGGTAACCAGACTACCCTATATCGGCCCATTTCGTCCATGAAATTTTTGAGCTCGATTCTTGAGTACTCGTCCAAAACAAATTAGGCTTGAAAAGGTAGTCATGTGTATTGGCTTGTGTATCATTGGTATCAAACATTGGGTACGAGCAAAAGTCGGGCAACCATATGAATCAGAATCCTTGTTCTATACTGCGCCTTGCATTTCGGTTCCATGATCGTCAGTGCTGCCTGAAACCGCAGCCGAACCGCGCAAGGTGAGGGTAAACTGTACTGGACTGTGAAGGAAAAAAAAAATCCATGTATGCAAGGCTGGTTTTTTCTTTCCATCTCAGCTGACTCTGTGTCACGGATTCCTCCAAAGTCCCGAGATGCATCATCAAGTCTGCCCCACATATGCAGTCTCCCTCGTGTCAGAAGGCTGACTCCGTCTCTGACACGATCTGCGGAATGAGGGCTATCCCCTGCATATGAACAGTCCCAGCCCCCCTGACTACCTTGCCCCCCTCCCTCGGTAACCTATCCCCCCATCTCATTTGGGTGGACGAAATCCTTCGTGCCAGACCAGCGTGCTATGCCCTGATTGAGTTGAGTCACGAGACCAGGCCTCTCGATATCCGGGTAATTACCCTGCTTACTCAAGGAAAACAGGGTGATTTTTGTGTACTACCCTGATTTCTACGCATCCAGATTTGAAGTACACGTCCACTAGCAGACTAGGCAACAACATTCCATGTCCGATTTCCGAGTAGTGGAATGTATCGCCCTGTAACATCCGTCTGTAAGGCCTGGTTACCCAGCTAGAAACCCCTCTTCTCTATTGAGGGAGGCAAAACCGCTCCCGAAATCCCAAGTGGGCCTTTGGGATTTCGGCAAGCGCGCCACACCCTGATTGGATGTTGCAGCTTCCCCAACCAAGCCTCTCTAACTCAAACTCGTTTCCCCCAACCAAGCCACTCTGAACCAAACTCATTTCCCCCAACCAGGACTCTCTGAATCATTTCCCCAAACCGAGCCTCTCTCAGCCAAACTCGTTCCCCTCAATGAAGCATCTCTCAGCCAAACTCGTTCCCCCAACCAAGCCTCCCTCAGCCAAGCTCGTTTCCCCAAAGAGGTTTGGTTGGGGAAAACGTGTTTTCCTAGACCACGCCTCTGTGCTCCATATGCATTTGTACCTGTGGGTAGGGCGTATTGTTTTGTAGTCGGCAATAAATTGGTGAAGTGGCGGTTGCACTTGTAGTCAATCGTTTGGGTTTTTTTTATAGCACAAATTGGCTTATACGGTAATAACATGCGAGGACTTGTAGATGAAATTGGTAAAGGGAAAGTTCAGTGCTCTTCAAAGAAGTGAACGCAACCTTGAAACCCTGCACATGCCGGGAAACCCCCAAAACTGCCTTGCAAAAACAGTCAACATTTTTTGTTTACCCAGCTTGGACGAGTTGGTTGCGCGACTAACTCGGATTCTGCAGGGGGCCCTTCGGGGACATCGAGAGGCCTGCACAAGACTTGTGATTGGCATGGGAAGAACCTGTCACTCTTTTAGCGACGATACCGACACGGGTGACAGCCCAACTGCAGCTGGGAAACGAATTTTGCAGGGTAAGGGCTCCATAGAGCACACACTCACAAATGCTGTATTCCTGCCTCCCGTGGTACATAGATCACGTTCTGAAGTTTGGCCGAGTTGAAGTTTGGCCGACCGACTCGCCACGTCAGCAAAAGTTTGGCCAAAGTTTGAGGTTTTGGTTGGCAAAAGTTGTGGTAGGTGAACTTTGGCCAACCTTTCAGCACAAAACTAGGCGACCAGCCCTCGACATTTTGCGAACGGAACCCCATCGCACCAAATCAAATCGACAGGCGATCCGCAGAACGATATGCGACAAAACACAGTCTGGGTCGCAGAGAACTGCGACACCTGACGGCCAGCTTCCACATAATTTTGGAAAAGTTGTCCTGAAAAAAATTCACCAAATTTCCACCATTGTGCCAAGCAGTTCAACAAAAGATAGGTTGGTTAGGTGAAAAGACGGGATTGGCTGTCAGGCAGCACTTCCAGGGATCTTTCAACCAAAGATACGCAAGTCGAGGAAGTTAACACGCGGGTTTTAAGGTCATCTCCTTCTGGTTGGGGTGTTGATGAAGGCTTTGGTGAAGAAGGGTGGAGCATTCGCAATTTGACACCTGTTCGTGCGCCGGGCAGCTTGGTGCTGTTTTTGTGGCTTGGTCAACAACACATTTCTTTGGCGTGGCCGGCCAAGTATGCAGAAACCAAGTTTCGCCCTCGGTCGCAGCTGTTCGTGGACCCCAGTCGCACGAATTCTGGCCGGCAAGGTGTGGAAGGGGCTGGTTGGCCAAAGTTCGAAGCGCACGGCCAAACATTGCAATGTGCAATGCCGACGTGGCGAGTCGGTTGGCAAAACTTCAAATTCGGCCAAACTTCAGAACGCGATCTTACTGCTACCGCTTCCCTCATCATCAGACCGCTACTTCGCACATTTGTTGTACCAAATGAGTACTAACTGACAACTAACGCGTAGTGCGCGCTGCTAGTGCATCAGCTAGAGCGCCATTCGCAAGTCGACGCTCTGAACCACCACTTGCTCTTATTAAGTGGCAGATTCTGTGTTTAGACGTGACCGTCCTGGCATCAGCACGAGTCGCATCAGCCCGAAGAAGCTAGACCCTCAAACCAGTCGTCCCACGCTTACCCGCTTCCCGCCTCCCACAGACAAACCTTGCCCACTTTAAGACCGTTAGCTTTCCCTGGTAATGTGTGTATCCCCGAGTACCTATCCATGTAGATAAATTCCTTGGCTCGAGCCGCTTCTCCATAGTTCCATAGCCGCATAGCCAAGCAAGCATCTTCCCGTCTGCTATCGCGCGTCTCGCACGTCTCGCAGGTATCGCATTAGCAGCGGTGGTACGGACCAATCGACACACACGAGGAAGTCAACACCCTTCACCCCCCGGCTCCTCTCCACCAAGGGTCGCACACATGACGCCCTCCTCGCATCTCGCACGCCCGTCGCCCGCATCGGTATCGTCGCTCTTGTCGCTCGTACTGCTGCTGCTCCTCTCCCTCGTCGCCGCGTGCCTGGCCAGCCAAGGTAAACCCCGCCCCTGTTGTGACTGCTCCTCTAACCAGCCGCTGTTGCCGCACCGCAACCATCACCCGCAACGCACGGCTAGAACCAGATTTACTTTCCTGCCAGGCCTCCAGCGAACTTCCCCCTCCAAGCGGGTCATCCCCTCTCTCCCTTGCAACGGTCGTTTTCTCTATCGTTCCCTTTCATTTCTTGTCCCGTTTCGCTCTCAAGTTTCCCTGAGCCCTTCCTTCCGCTCCTCCCTATCCATTCGCCCTTCTCAACCCTTCCCCTCTTGCTTTCCCAACCTTCTCCCTTCTCCCTTCGCCTATTGCTCATACCACTCCCCTTCCTCCCTCTCCCTCGATTCTTATATCCACACTTCCCTCCCCTCTAACCTCTCCCTCTACCGCCGTCTGCCCACCCCATCGTCTTCCGTCAGGCGATTCTGATCCAATCTACATAGTTCGCCTTAAAGACCCGCCTGTCGCCGCATACGCTGGCGGAATCGGCGGCTACCCCGCAACCGCGCCTGCCGCCACCGCCAAAACCGCCGCCGGCGCGCTGAACAAGCTGGGGAAAGCGGCGCGGAACGCGGCGAAGCAGCTTTGGAAGAAGCGGCCGAGGCTGAACGTGCGCGGCGCGAACGTTAAAACGTTCGTCAAGTTCTTAAAGCAGCAGCAGAAGAAGGTTGCGCAGGACGTGGGTGTGGCTGCCCAGAAGCTCATCCACAGGTGAGGAGACGAGGGAAAAGGGGAAGAAGGGGACGAGAGGGACGAGAGGGACGAGAGCGATTGAGAGTGCTACTTTGATCCCCCGACTGAGCTGGTCTGCGTCGGCCGGTCTGCCGCCCGCTGCGATGATGCGGAATCTCTCACTTTCTCCCTTCCCCCGCCCCATCGCCACTCTCGCCCGCTCTCTCTTCCCATTTTCGGCCGTCCCTTCCTATCGCACCCTCCCATCCACCTTCCCCTAACATCCATCTCGCCACACACGAAACCCTTTCCATCTTCCCTCTCTCCCCCTCTCTCTCCCCCACCAACTACACGCACGTTGAGAACGGTTTCGCAGCCACCTTATCGCCGAAGCAAGTGCGCAAGCTGCAGTCGCACCCAGACGTCGCGGCGGTCACGCAGAGCGTGTGCGCGTCCTTCTCCACCACGCACTCCCCGCAGTTCCTGCGCCTGCCGCAGTCGCTCTGGGAGTCCGCGGGCGGGGAGATGGCGGCCGGGGAGGACGGGGTGATCGGCGTGATCGACTCGGGGATATGGCCGGAGCACGCGTCCTTCTCTAACACGGTGCGCACCGAGAGTTGTGCAGGAATTAGCAGTTATTCTGTTATGTCAATGAGACGGCAAAAGCAGCGCCTTGCTGGCGTTGATTAGACTGCCTGCAGCGTCTGCTCTGTTGTGATCACTTCTGCTTGGGGATTGGCGGGCCGCGGGGGTGCGGGAGGGGTGGTTGTGAGACGGGGAATCATTGCATTGTTGGGCGGCGCATTGCGCTGTCCGTGCTGGCATGGCGGTGCGATGTGATGGCCGGATAGGGGTAGGAAACATGCCGCGCGTGATGTACCGATCGGCGCAAAGAGCGCGGGCGCTTGGGCAGGCGCGCGGACGACTGGCGGAATGAGTAGACCAACCCTCCCGCCTTCTCTCGTCTCTTTCCCTGGCCCCCGGCCTTCCCCGCACCCTACATCCACACCTTTCCCCAAAACTCCCTTTCCCCCCACTCCCCTGAAAGCATGTCCCTCCTCCCCTCCTCCGCCTCTCCTCTCCCTGTGCCGTTTCCACGGAGGCAGGCCGTGAGTTGGTGCGGCAATCCCTGGCGTCCTTCACGGGCGCGATGTGCGAAACGATGTTGCGAGCCGAAGCTTCAACTTCCCCAACGCCCCCTCCCCCTCTCCCTTCAATCTCCCCGTGCCTTTGCCCACATGCCTTTCCCCCCACACCTTTTTCCCCACGCCTTTCCCCCCACGCCTTTCCTCCCACGCATTTCCCCCCACGCCTTTCCCCCCACGCATTTCCCCCCACGCCTTCCCCCCCATGCCTTTCCGCCTTGCAGGACGTGAGTGAGTTCGGCGACCCCCCCACATCGTTCACGGGGGAGTGCGAGACGACGGCGGACTTCTTCGCATGCAATGGCAAGGTGGTGGGCGCAAGGTTCTTCAACGCGGCGTTCAGCAAGGAGAACCGCGAGAAGATCGACTTCAGCTCCGACTACAACTCGCCGCGCGACTCCGACGGCCATGGCACGTGGTGTGCTGGGTGAGTGACGTGGCGTAGGCTGGGTGGCGTGGCGTATCCTCCCACCCCAAACCTCCCTGTTTCCTTTCCCTCCCTCCCTCCCTCCCTCCGTCCTCCATCTTTACCTCATTGCTCTGGAATCTAGTGCCTCGACGTCTGGATACATCCACATTCCTAATGCGCTCACCCTCCCACCCTCCCCTCTCCCTGCGTTGCAGTGGGCAACAATGGATTGGGACAGAGACAGCATCGCGAGCGGCGTGGCCATTGCGTGCGCGTCTCATAGCGTCCATGGTCTTTCCGAAGCACAGCGGGAGCAATCTCATGTGCCAATTCATGCTCGCTTCCCCCACACGCCCACCTTCCCGCTCCCCCCTCCCCGCGCCCCGCGCCTCGCTTCCTGCTCCCCGCTCCCTGCTCCCCTTCCTTAGCGCTGCAGCGGGCAATACCGGGGTGGGCATCGGCGACGTGATGGCGAGTGGCATGGCCCCGCGCGCGCGCCTGGCGATCTACAAGGTGTTTTAGAAGCACGGCAGGGACATGTGGGCTAATAACGCGGACGTGAACGCGGCCGTGAATGCATCAGTGGCGGACGGAGTGGACGTGCTGAGCCTGTCGTTCGGGGGCGTGGATCCCAGAGCCACCTACTTTGACGACATTCCCTTCCTCAACGCCCATGCTGTGCGTTCCACGCATTTGCTATGGGGGCTGGGGCTGGGGAGCGGAGGGGAGGGGAGGGGAGGGGAGGGGAGGGAGGGGGGGTTGGGGTTGGGAGGGCTGGGCAGCGTGGCATGTGCCAGGGGGGTTGAGAGTTTTGGCAAGGGGTGGGTGAGAAGCATTGTTGATGCGCTCATTTGCTTGCTCTTCATGCCCGTGCCTCCTTCCAGTCTGGCCATTCCCAATCGCCCCTTCTACAGCACAGCCCTCTAGGATTGCATTGTCCTCCTTCCCCCCTCATCCACCGTCTGCGGTCTCTCCTCAGCCCTCTCCTCAGCCCTCTCCTCTCCTGCTGCTGCTGCTGCTGCTGCTGCTGCTGCTGCTGCTGCTGCTGCTCCTGCTCCTGTTCCCCTTACGCTCCTGTTGTTTCCACACTGAACTCAACTCCCCTCTCGTTCGTTTTCTCCCCACCTCCCCCCTCCCCCGTCCCCAGCTTTCTCGAGTCCCCTGATGATCCCGACGAAGCGCCTATCCTCGCGCCCTTCTCCTGCACCGGCCCTCTCGCCGCGCCCGCCGCAGTCCCCGCGGCCGGCAGACCCAATAACGACATCCTTAAACCCGACATCATCGCTCCGGGCGTCGCGCTCTGGGCGGCGGCTCCTAGTCCCACGCTCATCGACTACGACAGCTATTTTAGGAGGCTCTCCGGGACGTCCATGGCTACGCCGCATATTGCGGGAATCGCGGCGCTGATCATTCAGCAGAAGCCCACGTGGACTCCGGCGCAGGTCATGTCAGCGATAACGACGACGGCGAGCGTGCGAAACAACAGGGGGACCCCAATCCGGACGCAGCAGAAAGGGCAGGCGTCGCCAGCAGGCGACCGCGTCGCGACGCCGTGGGAGATGGGGTCTGGGCATGTAAACCCTATGAGTGTTCTCGACCCTGGGTTGACGTACGACGCCAATGCGACGGAGTATAAAAATTTCCTCGCGGGTTTAAACTTCAATCAGGCGAAGAAGGAGTTCCGTTCGATCGCCGTCAAGCCCATTCGCGCGTGCAATCTCAACCGTGCGTCGATAAGTGTGTCGAAACTGCAGCGATCGGTGACGGTGACGCGACGGGTTACCAATGTCGCCAGCGAGGCTTCAACGTACGAATCGTCAGTGGAGTTTCCCCCTGGTGTGAATGTGGTGGTGAACCCTCCAAGTTTCACCATCCAGCCTGACCAAACGGTAACCGACACGGTTATATTTACTGTTCAGAAAAAGAATCCAAACTTTGTGTTCGGAAGTATGACATGGGCCGATGACAAGGGCCATGTGGTGAGGTCTCCAATTGCTGTTCAGCCCATCAAGTGAGGACTGGGCCTGGGTGACCTGTGTATGTACGTATCATACATTTCGTTTTCTTCTACAGACATAAGAGAAGCGGGAAAAAGTGTGACGAGGAAGAGGGGAGGTGAGATACAGTTGAAATCAGGGCTTCAGAAGTCAAGACAAAATGCCCTGAAATGCTGTACATCAGGGTGTTTCTTTAGGGTCCTCCTGTTTTTTCAGCTTTTGATTTTTCCTATGCCTGAATTTTAGGGGTTGTCATTTGAGAAGGCCTGAAATCTTGTATGTTCTTGTTTTGGTCACCCTGAATTATCAGCCTTAAAGCCACAGGTTGGAATAGCAAAGGGGGGGGGGGGGGGGGGGGGGGGGGGGGCGCACTTGAAAAATTGGTTTTTTTCAAGGTCAGAAAAAATCATTCGACTTGCGCTGGTACCAGGGCCCAAAATTGGTTTTAGGCCACTCTTTGAAATCAGAGCAGGAAAAAAAAAATACCCTGACAGTCAACGAAGAACTACACACAAGAGGGTGGGTGGGCGGGGAAATTGAACTAGAGAAACTAGAAATGAAGAACGTGGGTGAGGCCGAATGGTCTCACGTCCCTCTTTTGTAGGCAAAAGAGGGTGAGTAGCGCTTCATCGCTGCCTTTGCTGCGTTGGCCCTCGCCACACTCTCACAATACACATTTTTAGAAAGTGTTACACACTTTCAAAAAAATACATATTGTGAAAGCTTGCTTAGGTCCTCTTGTAAAGGCAGCGTGTTTCATTTCATCTGTGTCTTCTGAGACATGTGCAGAAGGGGGTTGGCGGTGGCGTTCAATAGATAGCTGGTGCTGATTGGGCGTGGGAGCCGTGGCTGCGTCTTGGAGTTGCATGGAGGCTTGAAGGAGTTGGTCATGCGCGATGGTAACGTAGAGCTCCTTGGCATTATCGCTGCGCCAACGGCCAAGTCGCTTGAACAGCCGGTCGGATATCCCCAGGCTGGCTGCCGCTGTAGCAGTGCCCTTGCGAAAGGAGTGGGTGCCGAAGTGGGCGCTATCGAGGCCGGCCCTGGTGAATGCTTCAAGGCACCAGTTCCGGATGGTGGTGTACGAAGGTGCGTGGTCCTGTGGAGTTGCCGTGCTGCTGTTCCCGAAGACTCCGATCAATGGCCCCTGTGGGGTGGAGGTGTGACCCGCGAGGAGAAGAAAGTGCCATGTGCAGCGTACCGGGCAGTATGGGCCGGAAGTGGCGGCGACCGGAATCCACGTGCCCCTGCTTTCCTGGTCGGTCTTGGAGTGCGGGATGAGCAGCCATAACGCCTCAGGCTCAAACTGTATGTCATGCCATTGGAGACTGACAAGGTCGGAGTAGCGTAGGTAGGCGGCGAACATAAGGATGGGGATGAGTCATTTCTGGTACTCGGCCAGCCGGGTGGACTCCGGAAAGGGGCGGGCCATATTGTGCACTTGGTGCAGCGACAAATGTTCCTTGTTCCGGGTGGGGCACGAGCCATGGCGTTTGGCAAATTCGCGCACTTGTAGTGTAAATGGTCCAGTCGAGGGAGAGGGCTCGCCAGTCATGCGATGCGCGAAGGCGACGGCGGAGCATGTAAGCGATATGGCAGATGTGGTGGCCTGGTGATTTAGTGCATGAATGAGGTAGAGTGCCAATGTCATATCCTTGCAGGCAAGTAGCTCAACTTCACCTTCATGCAGAAGGAGTGAAATTTGAGCCAGAAGGAGCGAAATTTGAGCCAGTAGGGCTCATACGTTCAGATGGTGGAAGGGGCACGGACATGGGGTGATTACATGTAGTAGTTGCGTTTGCGGCTTTGGTATAATGCCTGAAAAGGTACAGCGTAGAGTACAATTATTATTAATTTTTATACGTAACATGCAGTGCAATCATCTGACTAGGAGGAAAGCCTTGTCCTGAGAAAGCGAGTGCGTGTATGCCGGGGCGTAGGCATTGGCTGCCGTGGGTGAGGGGAATGTGTGCCGTTACTTCTGGCACCCAGGCGCCAGGTGCCTATTGGAGGAGTGGCCACCATGATGCTCCCGGCCACTCGGGAATGACCAAGGTCACCTCAGCGTTTGTGCGTTTAGCGAGTCGTAATGTGGCTGGAATGAGGTTGGGAGGGGGAAACGCAAAGCCGCGCTCGTGCTGCCAGCTGAACGAAAAAGCGTCAAACACTGCAGCCGTAGGGTGTAGAATCTTGGAGCAAAACCTCTCCAGCTGAGCGCTATGCACATATGCGAAGAGATCGATAGAGTGGGGACCCAGGCGGCGATCCAAGAGCCGGAACCACGGGGCTTTGAGGGAGTAGTCATCGTGGTCTTGGATTTTTGAAAGTTCGTCGGCGTGCGCATTCAGCTCTCGTGGGATCCATTCGACAGCTAGCCTCGTCTGGTGTTCCAAGCAGAGGCGAATGATTGCTTGACATAGTAGCGTAAGCGGGGGGTGGTGCGATCCACCTTTGCGCAGGACGAATACCACGCCTTGATTGTCTACCCGAACGAGCACGTGGCGCTTGGGTATGAAGGTGGCGAAAGTTTGGAGAGCCCATAAAACTCCTTCGAGTTCCCGTCGAGTGCTGGAGGTGGGTAGTAGTTCCTCGGGCATGCGAGCACTGGCTTCAATGGGCGTCCTAGGAAGTTGTGTCAGGGTGGCGCCCCAGCTGTGTGCGCTTGCATCGACGTGGATGACGGCATCGAACTGGTGACTGAGATGGAATGGGTTTCCGTTGAACTTGTCGAACTGCGCAAGCCAAAAATGCAGCTCGTGCACTGCTGTCGACGACAAGTGTGCCTTGGCGTGCCAAGAGGTGGCGTCTGCAATTAGTCGAAGGAGCTCATGACTAAAGGCACGTGCCGTAGCGCCCAATGCCAAATTCATGGAGGCCAGCATTCCTGTGATTCTCGCAAGGGACCGAATGGGAACCGGTCGTCCCTCTTGACCCTAAGTGATGAGGGCTTGGAGTGAAGCAAAAAGTTGTGCTCGACGTTCGAGTCCGACGGAGAAGGTGCCTTGGGCGGCATCAATCTCCAGGCCGAGGAAAGCTATCTGGCGCGAGGGGTGTAGATGTGACAATTTGTTGTTTATAACAAAACCTGCTGCCTTCAGGTCCTGAACAACAGCTGCGCCGGTCGAGCGTGCATCTGAGTGGGAGTTGCAGAGGAATAGTAAGTCGTCGACATATGGAACAACCCGCACGCCGCTTGCCCGCCATCGCTTTGCCAGTTGTTTGATCAGTTGTGTGAAGACGAACGGGGCAGTGGCAAGCCCGAACGGGAGCGATATGAAGGAATAGTAGTCTCCTACGAACTGGAATCCCAAGCACTTCCAGCAGGAGGGGTGGATCTCGACCTGGTGGTAGCCTGACTTAAGGTTGATGGAGAACATCCAATCGTCTGGGCGGATGAGTTCGGCTACCCTGTTCAAGCCTTCGTACTTGAACTTGGGGATGTCGAGGTAGTTGTTGACTTTGCGCAAGTCAAGAATGAGGCGACACTTGTCGCGCTGCTCCACCATGTTAAATCAACTGACACACATGAGCGCGCCCTTCGTAGGGACCTTGACGGCGGCACCCGAGGTGACGAGGTCGCGAATCGCTCCACGAGTGAAGTCCAGGTGTGTGCCAACTCCAGCATGATTGCTATCCTCAAAGGCATGTGGCACGGCTTCTTCTAGGGAAGCCAATATCCTTTCGCGATGATGGACAAAATGAAACTGCTATCGCACCATGAGCACCACCAGTGTAGGGCGTGACGCAATCGACTATGTATGACAGTTACGTCCTTGTTTGTAACCGCATACTCGTAGAAGTCATGTTCGTTGTGTATCCATCCTTTCCCAATTTGTGCTGGACCAAAGGGTCGGGTGGTAAGAATCACATAGGTACCCAAGTGAGCGACACCAGACAATTGCAAGCGGTCACGTTCAGAATCATCCCCAAGGTGAGGCCGAGGTGACGTGAGGTGAGGCACAGTGAGGCAAGGTGAGATGGGGTGGTATGAGGCAAGGCCAAAGTGAGGCCTCTCCGCAATGCGGTTGCTCCTTGTCCATTCTCACATGTGTTGTTTGTTCCGCGCAGGAGAGGAAGCGCAGTGCGGATGACGTGATTCACGAGGTGCACTGGAAGCGAACACGCGAGTCCATGGAGAACTACCTCAGAGGGTTCCGGTCTTAGAAACTTAGGACTAAAGGTTCTTAAACTTAGGAGGCTAGGTTGGCTAGGATACTAGGAAGAAGACCGCCATGGAATGGCGTGAGGAAAACGGATCTAGGAAGTGAGAGAATGTCGAGAAGAAAGGGTGTTTGATTAGGAAGAGAGAGGAGTACAAGAAGGGGTTTGTACCCTCTACAGAAAGGTTCAGTAACAACCTACCAAGCCTATATTAAATTATAACTTATATAATTTTAACACACCCCCTAGGCTTGGTAGTCACACACCCACCCAACCCACCCCCTAACCCCGCACACCCTCAAGCTCGTGCTTAGCCGGGTATCTGACCCTCGTGCAAAGCGTTGACACACCCCCGTACACGAGGCAGCCTACGGCGTCTGGGCGGGTCAGCGTCAAGCAGCAGCAGAGCTCTGGCTTAAGGCGGCTGGGTCGCTGACGACAGGCGGCGACTGCCGCGGCTGAGGGCTCTCGGCGGTGTGGCAACGTCCGGGCAGAAGACAGCAGCTGCGACAGGAGGAAGGGAAGACGCAGGGGGAAGGGAGAATGGGGGAAAGCGGGGCGAGTCTTCAACGACGCGCCATAAATGGCGCGGCGCTTACTGGCGAGAGGACGGCGTCCAGAGGGACGCCCGTTGCTGGCGAGCGGGCAGCAGGTCCGGCTGCGTCACAGACGTCGCTCGGCCGGCCGCAGTCCGACGATGCCAGCGGCTGCCCTAGACGCCGCCACAGCGCACCGTCAATGCCGCAGCGGCGAGGCGGACGGGCGACGGCTGCACCAAGGGGCCGTCGCGACACCTTGGCGCCGCGACGGCAGGCAACAAGTGGCCGTCGCGACATCTTGGTGTCGCGACGGCAGGCAACAAGGGGTCGTCGCGACAGCTTGGTGCCGCGACGGCAGGCAACAAGGGGCCGTCGCGACAGCTTGATGTCGCGACGGCAGGCAGGCAGAAAATCGCGAAGGCTGCGAATGCAGCAGGAGTACGCAACGGGAACGTAGGGAGAGGGTCTAGTGGACACGACCGGCTCTGATACCATCTTAGAAACTTAGGACTAAAGGTTCTTAAACTTAGGAGGATAGGTTGGCTAGGATACTAGGAAGAAGACCGCCATGGAATGGCGTGAGGAAAACGGATCTAGGAAGTGAGAGAATGTCGAGAAGAAAGGGTGTTTGATTAGGAAGAGAGAGGAGTACAAGAAGGGGTTTGTACCCTCTACAGAAAGGTTCAGTAACAACCTACCAAGCCTATATTAAATTATAACTTATATAATTTTAACACAATTAACTGAAATGCAATGCACTTGTGGAGGGGGATTATGGGTAGGGAGTTTTTTGAGCTGCTTGGTAAGTGGAACATGTGGACATTGGATGGGGGATATTATTGAGCCCTTAGTAGTCTCTTGTAACGTCTGTAAATAGGCATGAAATGTGTTCCACATTGTACATGCCGCTGTTGTCGTGCCAGAAATTGGGGAAATACATTAGCGTTTTGCAGAATACTAATGATATGGACATAAGGAGATAATGTGGACGTAACAAAGTAGAGATAACGTGGACATTGAATTGTCCTAAGAAATACTTTGGGATCACTGTTATTCGGTACATATCGGTTCATTCAATATCGACCATTGGCGGCATGTGACCAACATATGATAATGCCTTTTATCACTCCCAAGCTGTCTCGACTTTTGTTCCCCCTAAGTAGAAACCTAGCTGTCCTGTTTCGACACGCGCGGTGGAGCTAAAAGACAGCGTATCCTATCCGGTTGACTATTACGTACCACACCACCAAAACCAGCCTTGAAAATCCTACATTATGGCCATGGAGGATGTCCAGATGGCTGATATCGCGCCTCCTGAGGAGGTGAGTGGAATGCTTAGTACAAATGGTCGTGGTCATTGAAGCTATTCGTGACGGGAAATTTCCCACAGGTCCGCAGGAGAATCGAAGTGTTAGTCCTGGAGTTTCTGCGTGGTCTCGTCAGCCATGAACGCCCAAACATAAAGAGCCTGTCACTTGTGAGTATGCCACTACTTCCTTCGCGCTTGCGAAACATTTGCAATTCTTACGAACTTGGACACCAACAGATTCGGCGTGACGCTTCAAACTTCAGAGCTTATGGGGGTGACGAAGAAAATGTCAGACTGGGCCTTGCACACACGTTGAAAGAGCGCTCATTGACGGGACTGAACGGAAAAAGGGTTCTCCCTTATGTTCGTGGTATGCGTTCTGGCCAGCAAAGACGTTCTTAGGATTTCTGTATTTTCGACCGAAATGCCTGACTGGAATTGGTCATTACAGTTTGGAAAGTTCTCGCCCTGGTTTACAAGCTACTCGAAGATGGCAGAATGTCGACACAGAGAGAGATCTATTATCGTCTGCTTGGTGAAAATCAAGAGTACTTCAAGAAGCAACGTGATTGCAACGAGGCCATTCAAGGTACGCTAGATGCCATTGCGTTTCAGGCTAGCATCAGACGCAATACTCTAACATTATGTGTACAGAGACTGTGGCCCTCCTTCGCTGCAGCAGATGCAGCTTGGGTATTTATGCATCAAGCAAGGGTACAGTTGCTGGTCGCCTATCTATGAGGGTACGTTATATTTCAAATCATTCTTGGCAGATAGAGGAGCGGCATGTGGTATTCACGAACTGCCTTTGATGCAGGAAGGAGAAACTGGACAGTGGATTGATTGCACCAGTCGGGGAGTGCTGGCGTTTCAATCACTGGAACTTATGGAACATTGAGAAACTGACTTTCAAGACAGATGCTCGATACATTATTGTAGTTGAAAAAGGTGTGCATTGTGCTGAAGCCTTTCTTCTGCATGTTTGATTCCCACTTCATTTTGTCTGATGCTTTAGAATGGTGTTCTGCAGGACACCGTCTTCCAACGGCTTGTTCAGGATCGTTTGTTCAATGAGATTCCGTGCATTCTGATCACTGCGAAGGGTTTCCCTGATCTGGCAACGAGGTAAGAAGGGAGGAAACCAGGGGATAAAGGGTATTCCCGTTTCTCTAACTCGCTTTTCCTTTAGCAGAGCTTTTTTGCGAAGTCTACATCTGCACTACCCAAAGATTCCAATCCTTGGGTTTGTGGATATGTGAGTGTTCACCATCAGCATTTCACTCAAGTTGCACAAGTTATATTGTGTTGTGATGCTCAGTATGCCTATAAGTCCGCAGGAATCCAGCAGGGCTGTCAATTATATGCACATACAAGTTTGGATCAGGCCAAATGGGTCTTGAGGGTCCACGATATGGTATGCCCCTGTGCTTGAGAAATATGTATTTCCTCATTCAATGTGCTTTATTTGGCTTCCTTTGTCGTCAGCATGTGATGTGAAGTGGCTTGGACTGAGATTTGGAGATGTCAAGTATGTTCCTGACGATGGACTACAACCACTGTCAAATCGGGACAGGGTATTGGCCCAGAGTCTCATGCAAACTGCAGCTCTTCAGGTAAGGATATCATCGAGTGTTCCTAGCAGCTATGTCTTTACCGCTTTCTCATCCACCATTCATGCAGATGCACAGCTCTTACATTGATGAGCTTGAAGCTATTGTGGACTTTGGGAAAAAGGCAGACATTGAGGCTCTCCATTCCAATGGACCAGATTTCCTTGTGAAGTTCATCATCCAGAAAATTGTACATCAGGATTACATTTGAGGTTCAAGTAACAGTGGCAGAACTAAGACTGGTGTTCAGGATTATGTCTTTTTCTTCTAGTAGTTTTCCCGAGGATGATTAGTTAGTCACATTTGTAAGGCCATGCAACGAGGTAGAGCTGATGAAAAGCACTCAACCAGTTTATCTCGCATCTACTCTACAAAAGCAAGGGCACCTACCTCCTACTCCATGACCCCGGCCTTCGTTGCGCATTGATGCTCATCGCATGACTTGCAATGATATTAGCCGCATCAGCATTGGGAGAAGCAATACCTCGGGCTCGCTGCTCGGGGGCTCATGAACCTAGGGGAAGCCCCCTTTGGAGCTCCAGGACTCGGCCGTTGTGGTGGTGGGCTCAGTGCTCTCGGGCTTGACCTCATGGCAGCATTGGCAATGAGGGCACCGACATCAGGCGCCCCTGGGCTGGATGCAGCAAGGGAGCAACGCGGGCTGAGAGAGCGGAGGGAGTCTGTCCTGCCGTTGGAGTAGAGCGGTCGTGGGCTCGCCCTGCTGGATTCGGACCGGCCGGGTGCAGTCATGTTGCCATTGGCATAGCTGGGGCTTGGATCTCGGACTGTCAGTGACCTGGCACTCACAGGGCTAGGTCTTCGAGCCACCCAGTCATCCCTCTGCATGAAGACATCACACATGAAACAGGGGGGGAAGGTGTTTCAGTTTGAGACGATTGCTGCTGGAGGCCCTGGAAGTGCCATAACTGCTCCCTGAGTCAATCAGTGGTCAGTCTCACCTGCTTGGGGTCTTCACTCTCCAGCATGTGGACGATCTGGGTCATGCGAGGCCGCTTGAGGGCGTTGGTCTCCACACAGCGCATGGCGATGCCGAGCACGTACTCGGCATCATCGGGAGACACCAGGCCTTGCAGCCGGGGGTCAACAATCTCAATCAGCCGCTCCTGAGAGCTCAGCTTCTTCGCCCACTTCACCAGATCCATCTGCAGCAGCATCACAATCAGAACACCAAAACAGCTTAAAGTTGGAACTCCCCAGCAAGAGAAAAAAGACAGCGCAAATATGCAGAGGTAGAACCGAGACAAAGGCAAGTATGGGATGCAATACCTCGTCTGGAGGAGCTCCATTGTCGATCGGCTTTCTTCCGGATATGACCTCAAGAAGCAGCACGCCGAAGCTGTAGACGTCACTGCGCTCAGTCAGCAGCCCGGTGTTCATGTACTCTGGAGCCACGTATCTGTAACACAGAACAAGAGACATTAGAAAATGTGAACCTGAGGGCACCCAAACAAACCCATGAATGGAACAATGCAAAGCAGTAATGCTGCCATGGATGAAACGGTGCAAAGGTGCACTGGAAGGGCGGGCAACAATCAAGTAGAGGGCGAGACGGAGACGGCACGTACCCGAAGGTCCCAACGACACGTGTGGCGGCGTGGCTCTGGTCGCGGCCCATGACCTTGGCAATGGCAAAGTCTCCTAGCTTGGGGTTCCACTGGGCGTCTAAAAGGACGTTAGAGGCCCTTCACATCCCGGTGCACCACCTTCAGGTCAAGGCCCTCGTGCAGGTGAGCCAGACTGCATAGGAGCAGCAAGCACAGGGTAACCAAAGGGAAAGAGGGAGGTTAAGTGCTGGTGAGCAGCCATGGCCTTCAGCCTTCACGTCCCGGTGACAGCGAAGTAGGAACGGACGAGAAGCCCATTACAGCGGAAGAAAAATAGTGGACAGCAAGAGAGGCAAAGGTATCTCACCCTCGAGCGCAGCCGATGGCGATGTGCATGCGCATGGGCCAGTCGATGGGCTCCATGTTGCTGCTCTGGTGCAGCCACGCCTCCAGAGAGCCGTTGGGCACAAACTCATACACGAGCATGCGCTCCTCCTCCTCCGCACAGCACCCCAGCAGCGCCACCAGGTTCGGGTGCCGGGCGTGGCTCAGCGACTCCACCTCGAACCGGAACTCCCGCGCAGTTTGGTCCAGGCTGGTTGTTGGTAGTTAAGAGGGGGAAACACACGGAGTCAAGAATGGGTACAGGGGTTGGTTGTAAGGCACTAGCTGTTGGACACGAGCTCAGAAGGAGAGAGGCAGGGGGCCAGTGAACGGGCAAGGAACGGAGGGCCCAGAGGGCATACAGAAGGGGCATTTCCTTCCTGTAGACTCACTTTCTCTGGGTAAGTCGCTTCACTGCCACTGTCGTCCCGTCGGGCAGCCGAGCCTTGTACACCGAGCCGTCCCTGCCCGTGCCCAAAACATTTCGCTGAGACTGCCGCCCGAAATCATTGGTCGCCAGTGACAGCTCAGCAACAGTGAAGAACCTCTCAACGCCGCTCCCATCCCCTGCCACGTCATCTGATGCCTCTGGTGCCACGTCAGCTCCCCCTCCTGATCCGCCTGATGGGGGAATCCACACCCCCCCTCTTCCGCCCATTCCCCCTCCCGCTCCCCCCGAGCCCCTTCCGCTCCCATACTTCCGACTGCTGCTCCTCAGCTCCCCCACCACGTCATCTTCCCCCTCCCCTCTCCCCCCGCCTCCTCCAAATCCGCCACTCTAAGCGCTCTCCCCGCCGCCCCATACTTGGGGGTAACTGACGCCGTCCCAGCCCCCATACCCGCGCCAGCACCTGCCCCCTCCCCCTTCCCTTCCCCGGCCCACTCCGCCTCATGGCGTTCGGCGGGGGAGCGGGTGACACGTCATCCTCCCCCATTCCCCCTCCCCTTCTCCCTTGCCTCCTAGGCCCAGCCCCAGCCATAGATTTCAGCTGGGGGATTGGGACGGCAGGAGGGATCAGCACCCGGCCGGTTAGATCCTCCAGATTTGATTTGATTCTCATCAGAATCCACCGGGATTTCCACCACTGTGGGGATCCCCTCCTCCCGGAGGATCGGCACAGGTTCGGCTGGCTTGGGCGGCGTCCCGTGGTAGCCTCGGTTCGGCGAGGAGGACCGGTGGTTACCACCGCCGGGCGAGGGGGAGTTACGGTTACCGGAGCGGGACCAGGAGGGCATGCGCGGGGGTGTGCTGTCCCGGTTGCGCGGAGCCGAGGGGGGAATGGCAGGCGGAGGCACTTCATGCGCCAGCGAACCACCACTAGCACCAGCACCAGCACCACCATCACCACCAGCAGCACCATTCCCAACAGCAGCATTGGCACTGTCGTTGTTGGCCCGCCTGGTTGACCGTCCTTATTCCCCTTGGGTGACGGGCTGGTCTCAGGGCTCTTGCTCTGCTGGTGCCCGGCTCTCTCCGTCTTAGGCGCGGTCTTCTCTCGTCTCGATCCATCCCGGCCCGGGACAGCCTCTGGCTCGGCTGCTCCCGAGCCTGGCTTCCTGGCTCGGGGACTCTCCGGCCGAGCCTTGTGTGGAGAGGTCTGGGGACTCCTCCTCGAACCAGAAGCAGCGGCAACAGCAGCAGCAGCAGCGACTGCCTTTCGATCGCTGCCGCTTCTGCCACTGCCAAACGAACGGGAGCCTAAAGCACCAACAGCAGCAGAGCCACCAGCACCCGTTGGATCGTGCTGGTCGCCACGTGGCGACGATCCAACACTCTCCTTATCCGCGTTAAGAGTGCTCCTAGGGCTGTCTTTCTTGGGGGAAGGGGAGTGGGACTTGCCGGACCTGCCCTTGCTCTTGCTTCCCGAACCTGCGATCGCAGCTCCGGCTGCCGCACCTGTGGCACTCACTGCCGAGGCTGCAGCCGCGGATTCCGCCGGACCTGAGCGCAGGGCAGGCTCGGAAGGGAGCTCCACGACCGTTACAGGAGGCACGTCAACGGCGTGGTAACCCGAGTGGTAACCACTACCATTGTGGTTCCCACTCGTCCCGTTATTGCCAGACTCGATATCGATACGGTGGTGCTTGGACGGAGAATGACGCTTAGAAGGCGATTTTTTCTTAGAGGAGCTCCGACCAGCACCCGCCACTGCTGCCCCTGCCGCTGCGCCCGCTGCTGCGCCCGCCACCGCCGCTGCTGCTCCACCAGCGCCTCCCCCGGCTTCTCCGCCCGCTGAGGGGCTCCGCGTCTTGCTTTTAGACTTGCTTGCGGGGGGCGGAGTGAGGTCCTTGTTGCTCCGTATTGCCTTGTACGCTGCTGCGCGCTGCAGAGGGGAGGATGGAAATAGGAGGGGAAACGGAGGGAAGGGGACGGGGAGAGCGGAAGAAAAGGCGGGAGCGATAGTGAGGGGGACAGAGCCTTGAGGGGGACGGAGCCAGCTCCTTGTTCTTCCGTATGGTCGTGTACGCTGCTGCGCGCTGCAGGGGGAAAGGAGGGGAAGGGAAGAGCGGAGAAGAGAGGGAAAGAAGAAGAGACTCAATGCAGGATGATACGGAGGGGGAGTCAGGTCCTTGTAGCTCCGTAGGTGATTTTTGAGTCGACTAAAAATCAATGCAGGGAGATACGGAGGGGGAGTGAGGTCCTTGTTGCTCCGTATGGCATTGTACGCTGCTGCGCGTTGTAGAGGGAGGAGGGGAAAGGGAGGCCAAGGGAGGAAAGGGAGGGGAAGGGACAGGAAGGGCGAAAGGGTAGAGGATAAGCACGGGCATGCGACTACAACGAAAGACTTCTCTAACAGAGCGGCTTTGCCACTTACCGCGCGGGATTGCTTGGGGCGCCACCAGCAGCAGTAGCCGATAATTGTCGCCGCCAGAATCACAAGCAGCGCGCCTCCCGCGGCAATCCCAATGTATACCCCCATGCTCATCCCGCCGCTGCTCCCGCCGCTGCTCCCCTCGCTGCTCCCGCCCTCGCTGCTGTTTGCGCCGCTGCTTCCGCCCTCCGCCACTGCCGCGGTGCTGCCGGAGAGGTCCGCTGGTGCGGAAGCGGAGGGGGCGGCGGAACCGGGGGCGGGGAGAGCGGAATGAGCGGCTGCACGGGCTGCGGGTCGTCCGCGGGCGGCGGAGAGGGCGGAGCCTTGGCGAAGGTGAGGGGGAGGACGGCGGGAAGACAGCTTGGCGGGGGAAGGGGAGACGGTCGGCGCGGGGGAACTCGGCGAGGCGGAAGGCCCGGAGGTTGAAGGGTCGGGGCTCTTAGCAGGAGACGGGAGCGGTTTTGTCGGCAAGGGGAGCGGTTTTGTCGGCGATGGAGTCGGCGTTTTTGTCGGGGCTTGACCACCGGCGGGGTAACCTTAGGAGGTGGCGATTTAACGACGGGAGGTTTAACGACGGCGGTTTAACGACCGGCTTCACAGGCGGCTTGACCTTGGGCGGCGGGGATTTCTTAGAGACGTACGGCGGGTCGCCAGGCAGGTATCGAGTCCCTTAAAGCCGTCCCGCAGAAGCCATACCCATTCTCGGAGAAATTATACTTGGCGTTACTCTCGCGGAGGTAGTTAAGTCCCGCGGAACGCGCCCCTGTAGCTGGTTATGCGCGAGGGAAATAGACTTAAGGCGCTTTAAATTCCCGACCGTCGCGGGGATCTCGCCCGAGAGCTGGTTGTTGTTCAGCTCGAGGAATTTAAGCTGGGTAAGTCGCCGAGAGACGCGGGGATGGTGTCGGAGAGTATGTTGTGGCTGAGGTCGACGGCGAGGAGATTCGTCATTCGGCGAGGTCCGGTATTACTCCCCCGATGTTGTTACAGCAGAGGTTCAGGACCTGTCATTCGACACAATCACATTCGGTAAGAGGAGATTGATTGGCATACGAGTAGTTCGAGTCGAAGAAAGGGTTAGGCGAGATGGGGAAAATGGAAAGGCATAGCGAGCGAGGACGGACGCCATGACGTAGGAAGCCACGGGTCAACCATGGCGTTGCATTCACTGCGAGCTAAGACGGTTAGATTGGTAGGTGGCGGCGCGTTTCGTTCCGAATACCTTCGCGAAAGGACTCACCATCAGTGAAGGAAGGTTGGCGATGTCGACGGGGATGTTACCATGCAGCGAGTTTTCGCCGAGGTCTAGCCACGTGAGCGTGTTGATCTGAACGATTTCGGGCGGCACTTCGCCGACAGCGCGAGGCTGCGTAGCGAAATCTCAACCACCTCGTTCTTCGCGTTACACTTCACCCCCTAGGAAAACGAAGACAGGCGGAAAACAGTAACGGAAATAGAATTGGAATAGAATTGGAAACAGGCGAAACCACTGCGAGGCGATGGTTCAGTCGAAGACGAGTCCCCTGACCAAGGAACACGAAGGGACTAACATACTTAGGTAAGCCTGTTAATGAAATGAACACAGGAGAAATTCGGCATTCTTTGCAGGCATGAGACCAGCGGATGCCGTGAGCTACGATGGCAATATGACGGTAACCCCTATGCAGCTTATGTAGGCGCGTACTTTGAATGGCGGGTTGGCACACGCGTCAGAGTTGCTGTCCCACGTGGATAGGATCTGATTGCTCGGATCCAGCTTCATCGCGATCCCCGTCCAGTCCGTCGCTGCTACTAACGAAGCGGCGCTCATCACTATAGCGAGGACAACCGCAGCCCTCATGGCTGGATCTAAATCCCGCCCAGTTGATTTAGCCTTCCTTCGCATCTTTCTATCTTTTTGTTTCTGTTTATGACTACGCTCTCTAAGCTGACAACGTGGATCGCTGACGAGCTAGTTAGCGAGGTTCGCGACGTCTAGTGTTCACTCGCGTCGCGCATTTCCGAGGCTAGTCGAATGTGACTTAATCTGGATTTAGCAGACGATTCAACTCGTTACGCCACTAATCACTGATGCTACAGCTCGAACTGCGGCCTTGAGCTTCTTAGAAGTGAGGTGTCGCCTAGCGGAGAACACTACGCACTCGCGGGCATAGAGCTGAAACTTCTCTGTGGAATAACCAAGTCGATTGCGCAATAGCAAATGCTCATCCCTCTCACACGCTTGGCGCAAAACTCAGACCCGACACTGACGTGGGCAATAGCAGCCGGACCATCAGCACAACCTTTTCGTGAGGGCTAGCAGCTGAAAGCAAGGGCAATGAACAAGCAGCAGCAGAAAGGGCCGAGACTCCAAGCAACCTCCCTGGCCCTGGATGGGTGCGGTGGTGGTGGTGGGGGCAGTGGAAGGAAGGTGATTGACAGACAATGCACCCCTCCCTCCCTGCAAACTCGCGAGACTGCCGTTGTCGTGGAAAATGTCCAATCTCGCAAAATGTCACTCCGACATCCCATCTCGACCCGAGGCGCACCTTGAATTTCCGAGCCGCATTCGGGCGAGCCGCGAGCTTGTCGTGGGTCTGGAATTTCGAGCAGGCAAGGTCTCAAGGTTTGGTGGTTCGGCTCGGCACTCACGGGAACTTGTGGTACGGTTTTGGCGCGAGGCGAAATGCAAGCTCGGTGACGCTTGATGCGCGGTCAAGCTGTTTTTGCGTGGCCTGTCTGCGAGGCACCCGTTGAAGGGGGAGCAAGCCGCAGCTGGCATGGAAGGACGCAAGGATTTCATTGGGCAGTTCCGGCTGGCTTGGCCGAACCTAAAACGTCGGAGCAGCACAGTGCAGACAAAGCTGAGCTTGCGATTCGTCAGGCGAGGGAGAAAGCGTTTTCGCCTGAAAGTTGCTGTAGAGGGTTATAGCAAGTTACACCTGTTATGAATGAACAAGCAGAGTAGCGCGGAAATGAATAACGAATTGTTCAATCACTGAATGACGATGGCAAGCCAGGCACAATGAGATGGGAAGGTTCGGGAAAAGAGATCGAAGGGTCTCGAAGTGACGAAGCGAGGCACGGAGAACTCCCGAAGGTCGAACTAGAAGGTCTGGAGAAGCCGAGGCGGTTCTGTCAGAAAGGTCCGGAACTGTCCCGACCCGAGGCTTCGGGTGTGTTCGAGCGTACGCGATAGCAGTACCGCTCGGTAAGGAATGGAAAATTCCTGACACCACCCCCCCCCTTAGCGAAGGTGATCTATATCAGCCGCGTGCTTGCGGGCCAAATAATTCGCAAGTACCGAAGGTGACTGTATCTGGTCCAAGGGCACCCACGTGTCGTCCTCACTGATACGATTGGTCCATCTTATTAGAAAGTCAACATGTCGTCCTTGGCCGTCGATACGAATCCAATGGCTCAAAATCTTCGAAGGCTCGATGGTCGTCTCCGCCGGTGGCCGTACATCCGGGACCAATCGCTGTCGGGCGATGTCTGATGTGTCGGGTACGAAAGGTCGCAACAGGCTCACGTGGAACTTGTTGTGAATACGCCAATCGTCAGGTAGGCGTAACTGGGCGGTCACGGGCCGTCACCATCTTCATGATTTTGAATGGGCCACAGAAACGTGGTCGTAATTTCGTCGGTAGTGGCAGTCGTAAATTCTTGGTGTCCAAAAGGACTAGTTGCCCTGCAGTCATCGTAATATCCCGTCGATGTACATCCGCATACCGTCGGGCAGTAGCATTCGTCTTGCGAATAAGTTCGACAGCTTTGTCTCGGGCAGTCTGTAGTTCTTCGACGAACTGCTGCGACCGTGGTACTTGACTCTCGACATTGGTGGAGACAGGTACTGTGGGGTCCATCGTAATTGAGGTAAAAACGGGGAGTGATTAGTCGTGGCTGAGGGAGCGTTGTTGTAGGAGAATTCCAACATGGGAAGCGCATCCCCCATTTGTTTCAGTCGGGGCAGTTTGTCCGAATCAGCTGCTCTATCGTTTGGTTTGTCCTTTCTGTCTGGCCGTCCGTTTGGGGATAATAAGCGGATGAGAACTGCAGGCGCGTGCCATACTGAGCCCACGTGTCATGCCAAAATTTCGACGTGAACTTCGGATCTAAACCGCTAATGATTGCTGCTGGTATCCCATGTAGGCGAACAACGGTCGAGATGAACAGGCGTACGGTTTCTTCGGCTGTGATGGTTGTACGACATGGTGCAAAATGCGTCATTTTCATCAATCGGTCAACGACGACCAATACTGCGTCGTTTCCGTTGGATCCGGCCGGTAGACCTGTGACGAAATCCATCGTCACGTGTTGCCATGGGCGTTGAGGTGGCTCTAGGGGCTGCAACAGTCCTGTCGGTCGCTGATGTGATGATTTCATTCGCTAGCAGATCGGACACGCGGCCACGTAACGTTGCACGTTCGTCACCATATCTGGCTAGTAATAAAACCGCAGGCAACGCCTTCAGAGTTTTATCAACCACGAAATGTACCGATAAATTTGAATCGTGGACTTCTTGAATTAGTAATTCGCGAAGTAGACGATAACTTGGGACCCAAATTCGATCCGTCCCGCTTCGTAAGTAATAGACGCCTTTCCGTGTAGTAAGTTGGAGATGGCCGTCATTTACGAAGAAGGGGTCGGTCGAATACCCGTGGGTAAATAGTCCACTTAGTAGCGGGTTGCTTTGGGCGACTAATATTGCTGCGAGTTGGGCAGACGGTCTGGAGAGGGCATCAGCAATATTGTTGGCGCCCTTTTTGTACGTGAACTTGTACGTGAAGTTGGACTCCAGATAGTCCAGCCAGCGTATCTGCCGCGGGTTGAGATTCGGCTACGCTCGCAGGTACTATAGAGATTTGTGATCGGTTCGCACCGTTACGTCCGCTCCAGTCAGGTAGCACCTCCACATTTTGAACGCGTAGACAATCGCCAGCATCTCCTTGTAGTGTACCGGTAGTTGCGCTCAGCAGATTGCATTTTTCGAGACTCGTACGCGATTGGTTGAAGCCCATTGCCGAAATCTTGCATGAGCACTGCTCCGATGGCGATGTCACTTGCGTCGGTGATGACTTCGAAGGCCGTTCCGAGTCAGCGATGCGAAGTACCGGGTGGCGACATTAAAAAGAGTTTTTAATGCCTCGAACGCAGCTTGCTGCTTATCCCCTCACTCGTAAAAAAGTCCCCTTCTGCAGTAGGTCGGTTAGAGGTCCAGTTAACCCCCCGCCATGTTGGGTATTAACCGCCGCACGTAATTCACAAAACCCAGAAATGATTGCAGCTGCTGCAGATTTGTGGGGTTTCCACTCCTGAATAGCCCGGAGTTTTTTCGGGTCTATTTGAATCCCCTCCGTGGAGATCACGTGCCCCAGGAACTCCAGCTTGTTTTAAAAACTCGCACTTGAGCCCTTGGTGATGAGACGATGCTGCTGCAGCCACTGAAAAACCGCTTCCAAGTCTTTAAATGTTGCTCCCGGGTCTTGCTGTAGATCAGGATGTCGTCCAGGTAAATTATCACACATTTGTCAGTAGATCGCGGAACACCCCGTTCATGGTGAGTTGGAACGTCGAGGGGGCGTTCGTTAATCCAAACGGCATCACCGTGTATTCGTAACTCCCGTAGCGAGTACGAAACGCGGTCTTGTGGCAGTCGTCAGCGAACACCCGAATTTGATGGTAACCGCCACGAAGGTCGATCTTCGAAAAGTAGCGAGCTCCGCGAAGGTTGTCGAATCAGCTCGTCCGTGCGTGGGATTGGGTAGCGCGATTTATTCGTTACCCGATTAAGGGCACGATAGTCCGTACACATGCGAAGTCCGCCGTCCTTCTTTGGGGTGAACAGGATCGGTGCTGCGAACGGGGACGTGCTCGGCCGAATGAACCCTTTTGCCAGTAGGTAGTCCAACTGGTTCCGTAATTCGTAGCTCCGGCTGAGTCAGGCGCCATTGCGTTCGTACAGTAGGCTGCGCGCCGGGCTCCAGCTCGATTTTGTGGTCCTGGGGTCGTTCGGGTGGCAGTCCACTTGGCAAGTCGTCCGGGAAATCTCGGGATATTCCCGAATGATTTTTGCCAAGTCATCCGACCGAAGCGCAGAGTTTGTTGATGTCGGTCACCTCGTTCTGCTCCATTGATTCGGTTAGATGGACGGTATAAATCCGCTCCATTCTTGACCGCTCGCTTGAGGCACACCGCGTTGACTCGTGTCGAGTTGTCTCTGCTTCCGGCCACGTGGGTAATTTTTTGCCAGCCTTTTCGCACTTACTGTGCACTCGCCTGTCGTCCAATCGATA